TAGCACACACTGTCAACTCCCTTCGGTGGATGTTTACAGGATCAGGGCTCTGGATGCATGAGAACACACTAGTTAGGAAAAACAACCCTGGGAAAAAATGGACTCTCTCTCTTTCAAAACAAGATGCACAATCTCACTCCCTACATCTGAAAATGCAGACTCCACTCTTCATGCTATCTTTGTTTAACTGCACTTGGTTAACACTTTCAGTAGCAATAGCTGGTGTTTATTCTTCCTACTTTTATTTTTGTATATGCTCTCTCATCTTACAGCCAGGTCACCTTCCCCTCATTTCACAACTTCCTGCAATGGGGTTTATAAGATATCAAAGAGAACTTAAATTTTTCTCCATGAAAATTTTGCATGGTTGCAGTTGTTAATGTTCTGCTGTAGTGTTTCTTCTTATTGATGACTTAGAGATTTAGACACCAAATAGTCACTGCCATCAGGAAATCCCATCAGTATAACATGAATCATGTTACATGGCTCGTTGTAGGTTAGGCCAGTTTCATGGGAAGTTTCTGTGGCTTTTGGGGACTCTCCCTCCTGGAGGAGGAATGAAGTCTGACTTGAAAGGTGGGGATTGTTTCAGAGAAAGCAACTGGTTTCGGATGTACCATATGTGTATATTGTATAGTGGTTAATGTAAACAAATAAAGGGTTAAATTTCTCATTGTCCCATTCTATTATATATCATGTGTTTTGAAGCACAAACCCACATGGCACAGGTGTCAAGCAAACAGGGGATGTCAACATATCCCACACCTTTTTCTGCTCCTGAATTTCCATTTCCTTCTTTTTCCCCCAGCTCTTCTGTTACTGGTTTGTTTAAATTATATTCTCTGCAAGGAAGGACAAGGAATTTCATTATCTCTGTAAAATATTTAGCACTTTAACTTGACCAAAATAAAATACAGCTGTAGCTAAGTACAGTACCAGAAAGACTAATGAACTCAATAACTGCAAGAGAAGCAGCAGTGGTTTTGTAAGGAACTGGATCTTCTATCTCAGATCTCCCGAAGAGCTAGAAGGTTAATTAAACCCTGGCTCATTGTTATAACACTAAATCCTAAAATGTGATGTTAGTCTTCAGGTCCCTACTGAGACAACCCTTGTTGAAATTCTTTCAAATATTTAAGAAGCAGGGAAGAGGAAGGAAAGCAGTTAAATAATAAAATCCCTAATTGCCTTATGTTTTGATGGAATGTCCATCACAGGGTGAAATCCATGTTTGAAAAAATCTTCCTGCTGAGTTTGAAGATGATATCAACTGTCCAATTCTGGGAAGGCAGAGACAAAAGAAGACAAACAGAAAGATAAAGGTGTTGAGGAAGGGAAATGGTCCCCAGCAGGCAAGGGTGTAATAGGAGGAAAATACAGTTCCTATGCCAGATTTTGATCGGGATGAAGACAAACCAGCAGTGTCCACAGTGTAATTTGGTTCCCTCTCTCCAGTTTTGTCTGACCGCCTGATAGTCTTTAAGATAATGGAGGCCCAGGAGTATCATGGTAGATCCTGGGATCCCAGGATTTGCTAGCAATAACAGTCTTGAATGTAAAATTCCTTGTTCCTTCTAATCCACATATTCCACTGCTCCCATTTGGTGGCCTCCAAATAAAGATTTTCCATGAAAAAGCATATCTTTATTCTCTACCTCTGACCACACTACAGCATTTCTTTGTTTCATGTCATGGGTTGACCTTGGCCAGCAGCCACACAGCCACTCGCTTACTTGAGATAAAGATAGTTTAATAGGTGAAAGAGAGAGACAAAAAATGAAGCAAAGGAAATTTCTCACCACTCCCACAAGCAAACCAGTGCTCAGCCAGTCTCTAAACAGCAGCCACCTTGGAAGCCAGAAGCCCTCCTTCTTCCTCTACCCTAGCTTTTACTGCTGAGCGTGATGTTAGGGTATTTTATGGTATGGAAAAGCCCTTTGGCCATTTGGGGTCAGCTGTCCCAGCTATGTCCTCTCCCAGTCTCTTTCCCACCTCAATCTACTCCCTGGAGAAGGAGTGGGAAAAGAGCAAGCCTTGACGTTGTGCAACCTCTGTTCAGCAACAGCCAAAACGTTAGTGTGTTAGAAACACCATTTTAGCCACAAATTTGAAACATGGTGCTATATGAGCCGCTATGAAGAAATCTAACTCTATCCCAGCCAGACCGTTATGCCAACTCTCAATTACACGGTGGATACTGAAGGTATCTTCCCAGAGCTTTTCAATGCAGTCACAAAAATTGGTTCCAGTTACACTGTGCCCAGCTCTTCTTGTTTTACAACAACCAGTCATTTAACAGATAGAGGGCTGGTTTCCCTGGGATGGCTTAGTGTAGGATTATGCCAGAGATATTAATCAAACAATACCCTGACTTCGCATATTATCGCCAGTGCTTAAAACAGAGCCTGTAGACAGATGAACAGTTCTGGGTGAAATGGCAGGGGATAGCTTACACATCTGGTACTTTGCCAAAGTTCAAATCCTGTCTGACCTGAAAATGGTTACAGAGAGAAACTTTATAGACAGAACGAATATATGAAGGTTCAGATTTATCATTATCTGGACAGTAGTGAGTTTTGGAATGAAAATTTCAGAAGGGATTGCTGCAGAAAGCCTCCTTCTTCAAGATGAGCATCAACTTCTACCTATGGGAAAAGTTTAAAGGAATTTTTCCAATAAGGTTAAAAAAGAAATCCTTGCTTCTAGAGATTTTTCACTTTTCCTTTGATACTTTTGGTAATTAATATTTTGGGAGAAATGGATATTGAAGTTCATGGGCTTCCACTGAGATGGCCTGCAGTTGCTCTTCTCATTCACTCTCTAAGGCGTTTGGGATTAAAAAAAAATTATTTATTAACTGTAACTAAGTTTTATATAAGTACTGAAGGAAACCTTATCCCAAAGGAAGAATTACTCAAGGAATCAGCTATAGAAGTAAAATGTAGAGTTTTATGTTTTCATTTCAATTTGCAGACAGCAGTCAGAAAACTGGCACCAAACCGCATAGTCTAGTGCCGCCAGCTTGTGGCCCAGCAGTGAACAGCGTTTTGGCACAGACACGAACCTCTGTCAACAGACAGTACTTCTAGATATATTTTCAGGTAATTCCTGTCAGTCAAACCACGGTAAAAATGAGACACAATGTGTTTGCCCCGTTAAATAATTAATTAATTCCTGCACACTTTTAAGTATTTTCATTTCTTCCCTTAGACTTTGAGATGTTTGGGTGACCATTGAAACCAGAAGTTATTGAGGTATGCATTTGGTATCAGCTTAGAAATGGCTTTTCACCCTATTGTACTACCAGAGAAAAAAATATGTTGGATTCACTCTATGGTTAATGAATTTGTGTATGAAAGAAAGTTAAAATTAATGCTGGAAGCATACTTAACTTTTTGTCTCTCTTTGGGTCAGAATGAATAAAACACTCCTTCATGCAGTCAGTTGATTATTTTTAACTGAATGAGTTTCCCATAGGAAAGCCTGTTTATAATTAACTAATTTCACAAATTCACAGCCACCTGCAGAAACATAGAAAAAACTGTTAAGATTTTTACATTTGGGAAAATTCTTTTATAATACTGTGAGGTTTAAAACAGCTTAAGAGCCACCATGTCTTTTCAAATTAGTATATCAGCCACAAGTCATTAGCTGTACATAATAATCAGAAATTGGGCTTTTTATTTCATATCATTGGGAAAGAATCATTGACTGGAATTTGTTTAACAGCAACAAAACCAGCATGGGGCACCCATTTTCATACCAGCTCTGTTCAAGAGCATTTTCATTCCATCCACGGATGTCTGTCTGTGTTTCTGTAGCAGAAAATGCTGTGGTGTTTAAACAGCTCCCCATCACCAGAGTTATGAAAAGATGGGGAATGCAGAGGAAGTGACAGTAACTTTGCAGTAACTTTGCTGAAGAGCTGTGTCCTTGTTCTGAAATCCCTAAATGACCTCCAAGACAAACCAGAGGGACAAGGTTGAAATGTGGGATCAAAGACTTTCAAGAAGTGTCAGGAAAAGCTAGGAGCCTGAAGAAGAGGAGAGAAAAGAGAAATCATTTAAGGAAAGAGTCAACAGCAAAATTGACCAGGAAGCCAGGGCACAGCAGCTGGAGCAAGGAGAGGGAGACACAACTTAGCCTAGAAGGGAGGATCAGTAGGATGCTACTTCTCTGACATAACCTTCATAATCTTTTTAACATCAGTCTTCATCTTCTAGGACTCAAAGAAATCTCCTTGCCTGGCATTCTTTCTAGCACTCCTTAAGACAGAATTTCCTCCCCTCCCAAACAGCTTTCCTTGAACAGCTCTCAAAAATCCTACTCATCCAGGGAAGATGCTACAAAAATACAGCGTGTTTGAATCCTCAGAGGCAGATTTACCTTGCAGGCACAAGGAGAAAGGCATTTGAATTCACAGATCAAATGCTGAGTACGTTACACATACAATTATGCACCTTGGTAAAGAACAACAAGTTCAAAGTATCAAATTTTGAGTATGAAAGTACAAACATCATTATCGAAGATGATAATGTCAGGTGTCTTATGGTGCAAACAACTGTTTTCTTACATGACACGAACGAAATAAAAGGAGTAAAAAGTAGATGTGACGACTCTTACTCCAAGCTAATTCTAAAGACCAGAGGAATTCAACCTGGTCACATTTACAGCTGAGCCACCACTATATTCGCCTCTTTTTCTTCTCCCCTAGCAGGTCATTTATATCCGTTTCTTGAGTCACTCAAATTTACTTAGAAACTAACTAGTAATAATGCAGTGATCTTAGAGCCTTTTACAGCTCTGCTGATATCCAAACAACTTTTCAGCCAGCATGCTTCCAGCACAGGCCGAAACGAGGTCAGGTGCCAGCAGATAGAGAAGGCCCTTAAACCCCAGGAGTTCCTGTAGCTCTGAGTATTTTCAGAATGTCAATCCTGGACCCAAGCTGCAAAACAGAAATACTTTAACTGCCAGCAGGGAGGCACTTGGACTAATTAGCTGGTCTTGAATGTCAAGATCCAAACTGATAGCATCCATCACTCTCTCCAGCATTTCGGGGATGCATCTTCTCTGTATCACCCACCTCGAACCTGCTCCCTTAGCAGCTCCTTTTTTTCATGTTATCCAGCCCTGTCATAGTAGCTATTGTGAGATAGTCAGCTCTTACTGCATGAAAACTGAAAGCAATGATCCTAGCTCAAGAGAGAGAAGGCTTGTTTATTCTCATTTATGCCAAGAGTATGAGTGAGAGTCCAAGGCAGAGTCCCAGAGTAGTCACACCCCAAGGTAGTTTTGAATTTCCACTTGAGACTGAAGACCTCAGAAGGGCATATTTCTTGTTTATCTGGCAAGTTATACTACCCTGAGAGGAAGAGTTAGAAGCACAGAAAGATAAAAATTTGAATGCTGGCCATACTTTGGAGAAGAGAGAGGTAAACAACCACCACAGGATGTTCCCATGCACAACTCACGTACAGGGGCTTTGGTATCACCACTAGCAAGGCGACTGCATTGCCAGATACACACAACCTGTTGTGACCTGACCTAGGGGCTTAAAGAGACCATGGTTGATTTAACCGGTGTCACAGCTAGAGTTCCCTGTTCACAGCTCAGGAGGTAAATGACTGTTACTTGTTTTAATAGCTCTACACTGTGCTCCACGCACCTGTACACCCTCAGCTGGGGACTGTACAGACCGGACAAAAGACAACCCTTTTCTCCAGCATATATTCATGATTTTATTTACTAAATACACTATTAGAGACATAGGTGTGTGGTCATTTCTAGAAGACACTTTAAAAAACTCATTACAGGAAACATTAATAAAATAAACCTTTACTGGCTAATGGTTTTGCACAAGCATATTGTAACAGAGTAATTCTGGGTTGTTACTTCTCTTTGTTTATCCTCCTGCTTAGGACTAGCTTCTGAAGAGTAAAGGTGAAGTTGGTAAGAGCTAGACCATAAAATTCCTGATTTTATTTTCTAGGCAATACGGATCTCTGTCTGTCCATCATACCAGCCTGGGGGAGAGCTCACACATCCAAGGTATAATTGAAAATTGATGAGAAGAGGGGAGGAGGGAATCTGAAGGTGAGTTACACCATTATTTAAATACTCCTCTCTGAATTCATCAAGGGAAAGCTCATTTCAAAATTAGCATGTCAAAAGCTATTAGTTATTAAATTAAAATATGGTATGAATTACAAATGAGATTTCCTTGCCAGTTTACCTTAGGCATGTCCTCCCTGGGTGGCAGAATGGAAGTACTACAAGAATAATGAAGTCTGAAGAAGAGGCCCAGAAAGCTATCACAATAAGCCTAGAGGTAAATATTCAGATAAGAATTCTCAAATTTAGAGAGAATTCTCCACTTTTTTTCCCTGCTCTGGATCAATAGAATTGCATTCTGTAGTGACGTGACAGGTATAACCAAACTCATCATCTTGAGTTTGGGTGAAGAGAAGACAGCTTTTGCACGTGCACTGGAATGTAGTTATGAAGACATTAGATGTTTTCATGTATGAGAGCAGGCATGAAGAGTGTGGTTTTTGGTATCTGAAGCATTCACAGGAGTGACTCCCATTAGGAGGAGACTTTTTTCTTACACCATCAAGGGTAAGAGGCTCTGTTAGCACTAGCCTTCACTTTTGAAGAAAAGGCTTGATACAGTAAATGCCACAATAGCAGTACCCCTCACAGAGGGTTAAACTGACAGTCACCACCTCTTAATTTCAGTGTGTATGTGCTTTCACAGAGAAGGAGGACTAAGCAACCAGAGACACAACAGTACTGCAAGTTTTGAGATCACAAAGACATCCAAGGCAGCACAGGCTTTTTCTATCACAGGTTTCTATTTCAGGGTTTGATCCTATTAGATGTTGGTGCTCTGAGTAATAAATCTGCTAAGACAGCTATAAAACAAAAGATATTATTGACAAGAGAAAAAGGACAATGAGATCTTTCATCAGGTCTTCCTCTGACCACCACTGCCCCCAAAATAATAAGGCAGTAAATACTTCTAACAGAAGATGCTACTTACATCCAGGGTTCTAGCAGTGCTTGCAAACAAGCTTTCACTGTTTTTAACACCCTGTTAGTCTTTTTCAGCTGTGCCTGAAGACAGAAAGGTGCTGTGAACCTTGCCCTAAGCACCAAACTGAAGCTGAGTAAGACTAAGCTTGAACCCTCCCGCCACATGAGTTGTTGGTGAGAACAGGTTTCCTCTTGCGAGTAGAAGAGTATAATTCTATTATTTAATTTTTGTAAAGGTACTATATGAAGTTATGATTATTTTGTTTTGTTTTACATCTTGAGTGGGAGCAAGTAAATCTCAGAGAAGCCCAAGGGAATTAAACACTTGGCCCCCATCAGACTGAAAAGGAAGTCATGTGCCTAATCCTATTAGTGCCTGTGAAATTCCCAGACCTAATATTAGCTCCAGACATTGCTCCACTGAGATCCCTTTGAGAGTAAGAAAAAAAAACATATTGCTTTAGTGCAATTTGTTCTCCCTAACCATGTTATCGCATTGGAGTTAACAGCAATAATTTATGTTCCATTATGTGCAGTACTTAATTTAGATAGGCCAACTGCCTTCTTGTACAGTTGCCAGCAAAAGAGTGCATAGTCTCAGGAAACAGCAAGTGTGCAGGTTTCCCATCTTGCTGCTGTTCTGGGCCAGGGGTGGGAGAGAGATGGGGTTTTGTTCCCATCCCACAGGGAACTAACCCTGGTCTGAGCAAATGCCCTTCCCCAAAAATACAAGGTTCCTCTCACAGCCATGGTTGTGTCTTGTCCACACCTCACAGGTGCAGAATATTCAAGTGCTTATTCATGGAAGCATTTCTTAGCAGTCTGAGAAGGTCTTCTCCATCCTTTAGAGAGCCATTAACATTAATCAGGTAAGAAATATGGGATTTGTCGGGCAAACTTTTTTATCATGTTCTGATAGTGAGACTCTCTCTGACCTTACCTGCTGTCAGGGAGAGCAAGCGATGCTTCCCCATCTCTGTGACAGATTACACCATTATAACCCCAATAAATGGTCTGTACCGAAAACCTTCAACTTCTTAAAAAAAGGAAAAAGTGAATATAGACCTTTAAAATACTGGAGATTAGGAATAAAGCTTTGTAAATTATGGGAATTACATGATTATGTGCTGGGTTTAACATGGGAGGAACAAAGCAGCAAAACGAGGAAATAGACTGAACAAAGGTTAGAGATATATTTTTGTGCAGTTGCTTAAAGTAATGCCTTACAGCTGGAAGAAAGCCCAGTTGTGCGTAAAACAAGTTGGCCTCGTTTACTCAAACATGATACTTGCAGAGGTTGTGTGAAGAGAGGAGTAACCGAAGGTTTTCCCCCCAGGAAGCCTCAGGCTCAGCTCTGTGGCACAATGGGCCCCACTTCTGCAACCTGCAAGACAGCTTTGCTGTACAGAGGCAAAGTGCAAAGACAGTGGTTGTTAGGTTTGCAGTCCTCCGTCTACTGTCCTCTCTTGCCTGCAAAGAGGTAAGAGTAACTGTATCAGCTGTACGGGGCTATTTTCTGGCTGCTAAACTCTTAAGGAGACAATTATGCACACCCCAGTCATCACAATGATCTGAACAGGATTTAGCTCAAATAAACCCACCTTCTTAAATATCCCCACATAAATGGAAATGTTTGATGGCCAAAGAAGCTGCAGGCCCCATACTCTGCTCCGTAAGTCCTGCCTGGCTGGAGAGCTTTGACCAGATGGAATAAGGCACAGCATTGACCTCCTTTTTGGAAACCACCATGAAAGGGCTCAGACTTCCCCAGGCTGATGGGGGAAACAGGAATGCCAGGGGAGAGCCCAAACCACTGCCACGAGAGCCTTTTCTCCACGGACTGGAGAAGCAGCCTGTAACAGCATACTTAGGTGTATCTGCATGGTAAAGATCTACAGTTAAAAGATGCAGCAGCTTCCAGCCTTAGTCTAGACTATATAACTTTGCTACAGCAGAATTAAAATATGGGAAAAAAGGAGTGTAGCCATTTCCTACTTTTAACAAGGAGCTTTGATCTGATGGGAAACATACAAGAAATAGCGTTTTCCTGAAAATACTTGCAGTGTTTGTACTTAACTGCAGCCAAGGTGGGAGGAGATTTATATGTATTCTTAAATCCTGCCTCGTTTCTTTCTTCTACCGATTTTCCTTGTAAGTGGAGCAACTACTAGCATGTAGCCACTTGTAACTTTATGGGACAAATAAATAAAGGAGATGTCACAAGACAACTAGGCCACTGCTGAATCTGGCTTTTGCAAACCTTGCCCTACATCAGCAAGATGAAAACCAAAGGCAGTTCACATCACAAGTCACAGCAAAGAAAAGAAAAACCACCTGTCGTCAGAATCAACTGTGCTCTGCTCTATTCTTTGCAATCAGTCCCCTGGAAGCCTGCTTGTTGTATCACATCAGTTCTGTGCTGGTGTCTGTGCACTGGCATTCACCACAGATGGCAAGGTGGCATCTGCTTTTGGTAGTCTGCCTTCTAGCAAATGCCTTGGGGAGCAATGTGCTTTGTCTTTCCATCAGTGAGCAGGAATGCCTGAGGTGGTGTGGCTGGCCTCAGGTGGCACAGCTCCAGCCCCAGCAAACTCACCATATAGCCCACTGCAATCCTGTCTCTTTGGCACACATGGCAGGAATGTAATGATATTGGCGTTATAAAGGATTTTATATATATATATATATATATACACACACACACACATATATATATATATATATATAAATATATTGATGATATACCATGTATCATGTGATATACTGGTATCATGTATGATAGTACTGTGACTGATCACTAAACCCTGAGAAGGGAAGAAAGCTCAGTGGAGATGGGTAGGGGTGATGTACCTGTGAACCCTGGGGAATAAACGCAGGGTGTGACTGACCACAGCTATTTGCAAAGCAAACTGACTTTAGCTCAACACAAAGGGGACCAGAGACGGCCTTTGTTTTAGATATAGCTATCAACAGTCGAGTGGATCAACTGGTGGTGTAAACAGCTCCCTGAGTTAAACAGACCAACACAGGGGGAATGAATCCGTAGCTCAGCCCCACACTAAACAACTAATAAAAGCATTTAGAAGAGAACAAAGGGCTTAGGCTGGCTTTAACCTTCACCAGTGACTGGGGATGCCCAGCATCGTGACTGTGAGCATATTACAGAGACGTAATGGAGATTACATTGGCATTGTGCTTGAACCGTGTCCTGCAATTGCTCTATTTTGATTAGTGTCACATTTGTATCGATATAGATTATATTGAAAACATACGTTGCTAAATCAGAAATCCCACTTAACAACAACTATCTTCAAGTAAGTAAAGTTGATATTAAACATTCCACCCTCCACATCTAGGATATCTAAAAGAACATGGTCAGAGAGTGTTGGATTCCAACATACATACATAAATGTAAAATATTATAGGTTCATAGATGTGAATCCATAGGGTGGCAGAATCTGGAAGACTGCCTCATTAACCCATACCACAGTTATTAAGCTTATATCTACCTACAAAAATCTGTTATACTTACATAAAGTTTTGTTTCATAGATGCACACAGCCTGTCAAGCCTCTCAGGAACAGATTCCAGTTTTAGATGTAGGAAGTGCATTGACCTGTTGCTCCCCCCAAAAAGCCCTTTGCCCAATGTATCTGCAGTCAGGAGCATAGTGTATCCAAAACATGAATTCATTCCCAGTGCAGCAGCTGATTGTGTCTGATGTTGAGGACATGGCCTTGCTTTCATAGAATTCCAGCCTGGTTTTCAAAATATATCGACGCAGTATTAGAAGAAAAAGAGTGGAATACATAAGATTAAGGAATATAGAAGAGCTACACCCACAAAATGCCACCACAGTCAACTTCCTACTATGTTTACAATTTAGAGAGAGGATGTGTAAGAAGCTCCCAAAGCCTAAAGGTCACTGTAACGTGAACTGCTTAGTACAGAAACAAACCACCTAACAACATTCCCTGTGCTTCATCTAAGTATTATAACAAACCTTTTCTTCCACTGCCACAGCTACCTTACACAGTGCTGGATATCAAATGCTGTTGGTGACATGCTGCCCCATTAACCTACCCTTGTCCATATACTCCACTGCCGATGGCTTCTGCTTCTCCAGTACATGCAGTTGTGATGTCTGATACTGGCTGGTTCAACAGGAGAAAGCAGCTCAGGAAAGAGGACTTGCAGAAGGGCAGGTGGATAGTCAGTGAGAGAAGGCATGTACCTCTGAGGACAAGAATTAACAACAGCAGCGTCTTTTCTGTAGCGCATGGCAAGACAACATACATTAAGGACCAGAGCTCTGCCATCAGCTGGGGGCTTTGCTCTTCAGGGCTTGGCTTTTGCATGCATGTACTAAGGATCATACCATCTTAATCAAATTAATTCTTTATTATGCTGTACCAATAAAAACTTCAACCCTTATTTTTCACCTTAAAGCTGAAAAAAAAAGTCCTGGAACAAAGCATTAAAAATTCCAGATCAAAATCACTGGCCTTTAAAAATGCATTATGGATCTGAGGAGATTCAATGGAGGAACAGAGATAAGAAAAGCTGTGCAAACTAGGAAAGTAACAGAGAAGTTTCTGCCTGCATACTCTTAGAATCAGAGACCATCCTCTCCACAGAAAAGGACTGCCCATACAGTGACACATGGTGCAACAGATCATGGTCAATGGTCATTACAAGGCAGCTCAGCACAACCTGGAATATTCAAAGGAGCAAAGGATCAGGGATGGGAGAACATGCAAGAACTGCTTGCAGTCTAGCAAAAAGATGATACAGGTACATGGTATTATTGCACACCTGCCATTTGTTACAGGCACAAATATCCTACAAAAGAGCTGATGTCTTAGTGGACCAAACAGGTACAGAGGCAGGCCAGGGATATACTAGAGGTAGAAATTGTAGAGATCTACTTGTGTTGGGCAGACTTCTGATAAAAATACAGGGAAGGGAGCAAAATCACCAAACGATCTTTCAGTGGGTCTTGGTTTCCTTTCTGTTGGGAGCGTATGATATTGGCATACAGCTAAGGAAGGGGAAAGGTCTTTATCTTCCAGTAAAAAATAGAAACTTAAAAGGCATCAGATTCGAAAAAGTGGTTTAATCTACAGCATCTATCTGTAGAGCCAGCGTACCCTGCTGGAGTCTCAACTTCTTAGACAACTTTGGGTTTACTTCAGAGGATTCTTCAGGAAAGGAACATCCCTCCCCCCATCCTCATTTGGTCATTTGGAAGAGCCATGCAAAACTATATACTGCTTCTATAAATGCTACCGTAATGCACCATCTCTCAGCAGTTCTCAACAACTGGCTTAGGGCAGGGAATGGCTGTAGGGTTAAACTTATTATTTACTCCCAACCCCCACAAAATGATCCATCCACATTACTGCTGCAGACACATGGCCCTTGCATGGATCACTAAGACCAAGGACTAAGACCAAGAAGCGTAAATGAAAATAAAACCAAAGCAAAAAAAAGAAAATAGACCTTAATGCATGTTTAGTTACAAAAAACAGAGTGGCAAATAGGAGGAGAAGGCAGATCTCCCAGTTACATTATTGGCTACTTGCTCAGTAACTGCAAAAAAAACAGATGCTGGACAGTCACCCTTCTTCATTCAAGCACAATTAAAAAACCCTCTATGCCAGCATATTATGTACAAAAAAAAAAAAAAAAAATTGAAAGCACGAATGAGATTCTAATATACAGTACTTTCACACAGCCAAAGCTATTTTATTTTACAAGACAAGTCTTTTGCATTAAATTTTCTGAAAGCCCAGTAAAAACAGCGTGAACTACTTAAGCAAAATTTAAGAGACAACTTACAAAGTAATATTTGCATAGCACTGTAAATCTGCGTATTTGTTTGGGCACAGTTCTTAGTAGAAACTACAGTAGGTGACAAGGTTGGGTTTTCTTAATAGCTTCTTGTTTTTTAACCAGATTCAGATGCATCTTTTCTGAACATCATAAAATCAAGTGTAGGAAATAACTGTAAAAATGTACAAAAATATATACACATGCACAGTAAATGTGTACCCTGTATAGAGTTCTATTACTCATTAGATTTAGATAATAATGATCATCTGGTACCTACACTTCCCTCCAAATGACAACTTTGTAACAAATCAGGTTAAGGATGGTGAGTTTTTTCAGAGAGAAGGTTTTCATTAAAGCTACAGTACTTGCTGGTGATCTTTAGGAGTGAGCGACACGCCAGCTGACAGTGGCTGCCTGGCGTTCAGGCAAGTAGCATTCAGGTGTCACAAGGTACAGCTCTGACAAAGCTGAAGCAAAATAATAATAAGGGACACCGCTTGGCTCTCGATGCACATGCACGTAATAAAGGAGGTCCACAGAACCAGTTCATCCCTTGGTTTGGGGAGGGGGGGTAGGGAGGGGGTGGAATTCGTTCCTGATTAGCATCTGCTGCCCACTCTTCCTCTCTTTGCAAGTTAGATTTTAGTGTGACTAGAAAATTTGAGTGTTTTCCTTGAAAATGCACATTGGTCAGTCATAAAAAAAAAACCCACAAAACAACAAACCCATCAAACGTGTAAGACAGTAATTGGTAGTGGCATTCCCCACATTAAAGAATACTTCCAATTTAGATTCTATTCTGGTGTCTGCTAAAGCGTCTATTTTTGAAATACATTTCCTCTTAAAAAGATAAAATGCTGTTTCTACTAATGTAAAGATTTTTTAGGAATAGACAGTAAGCTTCACTCAAGGGCTCTCAACAGTGAAAGTGCACAAATTAACTTTCTTCACAGTTTCAAAAACTGGAGTGGCTTGTAACTACAGGTATAAACTTTCAAGAAGTACAGGCAGCTTTCCATAGACCTAGAGAGGCCGAGGATAAGAGAAACATCACAGGTTTGGCTTACAGATGCCAATCCACTGTCTTCCCGAAGTGTGACATATTTTCATGACATTTTCTGGTGGCTACCAGATGTGGCACAGGTCAGGTAACACTGACTTCAGAAAGTCTTCCCTCAAAACCACAGCACGCAAATAAACCACAACCAACAATCTGCAAGGATCTTGATGAGAGATTGCTGAGACAATCAGATAAACTAGTCTTCAAGATAAATAGGGGGAAGTGTGGCAGAGTAAGAGTTGCCATCTGTAACAAGCCCTTAAAACAAATTCTGTCCCCAATCACATGAACATGGTTGCCTTGTAAGCTGTCACAGGGAGGTTTCACATTCATATGAAGAGTCAGATTTTGCTTGCCCACCTACATGCTTATCTCTGGTTTGCAAAGCTCCTGGCAATCGCTCAACCTTCTCAGGGCAAGAATTGGGCTAGACCTGTCAGTGTGCTCCTGCTTCCAGCTATGCACCTTGCGGTGTTCCTCCTCCCTTCAGAGATGCACCTTGCAGCTCTCAGAACAGCTGTCACCTGCTTCAAATCCTGGCTTCATTCAGCGCTGGCAGCCCCGGAGCAGCTCAATACGGACAGAAAGGTTCAGAAATACAGAAACAAGCAGCTGTGACAAACTGGGTCAAAGTACAAATTCATCATTACCATTACAGGGATGGGCTTCTTTCCACAAGCATAAACCAGAATGTGTAGTTATTGTCTGCTGTGAACCAGAAATT